TGTCCCATAGTGCCCAGGGATGTGCAGGTTAGGGTGGATTGGCCGTGGGAAATTTTCCTATAGTGTGCAGTCACTTATCCAGGAGAAGGATGCAATGACGTGTCTGATACTCACTCTCTTGTTAAATGTCGCAAAGAAAGCGATATACGGCTGGAACACCTTAGCTGCTTCTTCATAAGCTTTGAAATCTGCGGGAAAGTGAAAAAGCGGAAAATCAATCTTCTATTAAACATGGGTTCAACATGTTCGGGGCACTCTTCCACAGTTCTGTATACCTCAGGTACACTGTTCTTTAGAGAATCTCTCTGCCTTCAACCTCCTTGTGATCACCTCTAAATCTGCAACTATTCTGTGCAGAATACTGGTCATTCTGCTGTGGGAAGGATGATACCAAACTGGAAAGAGCTTGGAAAAAATTTACAAGGATGTAGTCGACACTGGAGGGCTTGAGTTATAAGGAGACGATGGATAGGTTGGGCGTTTTTTTTCCCTGCTGTATGACTCAATGACAGTATAACTTCCATCTAAGTTACAGTCATAGTGTCATAGAACTGTACAGCATAGAAACAGACCCTACGATCCAACTCGTCCATGCTGATGAGATATGCTAACTTAACCCAGTCCCATTTACCAGCTTGTGTAGATTATAAGGAAACTACTAGGAGATATTGATGGGCTGTAAGTGGGCCCAAGATTTGGCAACTGGGGTCCAACACAGAGAAGAGAGAAATTGTCCATTTTGGTGGGAAGAATAACAAAAACCTATTATCTGAGTGGTGAGAAGTTGCAGAGTGCTGAGATGCAGAGGGATCTGGGTATCCTAGCACATGGTTAGTGTGCAGGTGCAGCAAGTAATCAGAATGCTGTAGTATTTTGCGAGGGAAATGGAATGCAAGACTGGGGAAGAATGAGGGGGGATCTTATAGAATTGGAGGGGAGGGGGATTGGGGGAATTAGAGATCGGAGGGGGTGGATATTGGAGGGGAGGGGGAATGGGGAATTGGAGATCGGAGGGGGTGGATATTGGAGGGGAGGGGGATTGGGGGAGTGGGAGATGGGGGGGAGGGGATTGGGGGGGGGGGGGGGGTGGGGGGGATTGGGGATGGGGGGGGGTGGATATTGGAGGGGAAGGGATATCAATGGAGGGAATTGGTGGGACAGAGGAGGACAGTGAGTCTGTATCCCCGCAGCAGAGGGGAAGGTGGGAATGCAGAGTGAAGAGTAACCCAGCAGGAGGAAGCTCCTAGAGCCTGGATTTGTACAGCAGGCCCTTACGTTCAGAGTCTTCATTCTTGAAGTAACCGACCAACTTGGGCTCATCATCATCATCTTCGAAAACTTCAATCTCGCCTTCATCATCAATCATCTCCACAGGGTCTTCGAGAAGCTGGAGGGGTCAGAGAGAGAGAGAGAGGGGGTGAGAGAGAGGATGAGAGAGAGGGTGGGAGTGAGAGAGGGAGGGAGACAGAGAGTGAGGGTGATGGTGAGAGTGAGGGTGAGAGTGAGGGAGAGAGAGGGAGGGAGGGAGACAGAGAGAGGGTGAGAGTGAGGGAGAGAGAGGGAAGGAGACAGAGAGAGGGTGAGAGTGAGGGAGAGAGAGGGAAGGAGAGGGAGGGAGGGAGACCAAGAGAGAAGGAGAGAAATAAAGTGACTGATCTGTCTAAATCTTCAGATGAGTCACAAAGTGAGAGGGAGAAAGAGAGAAGGAAAGATATAGATAAACTGGATGGACTGTCTAAATCTTTAGAAATTTCACAGAGATAGCAAGGGACAGAGAGGGAGAGAAGGAGAGGGATGGAGAGAGGGAGAGAGAGATAGAGACAGAAAGAGGGAGAGAAAGTGTATGTGAGGGAGAGAGACACACAGCGATAGAGAGAGACAGAGTGAGAGAGAAAGGAAGACAGAGAGAGAACTAGAGACAGAAAGAAAGATATAAATAAACTGACTGGACTGTCTAAATCTTTGGAGGAGTCACAGAGAGAGAGAACAGAGTGTGAGTGTGTGAGAGAGAAACAGAGTGAGAGCAACAGAGAGAGAGAGAAAGAGAGACAGATAGAGAGAGAGAGTGAGAGAGAAAGAGAGAGAGATAAACTGGCTGGACTGTCTAAATCTTCAGACCAGTAACAGAGACTGCGAGAGACAGAGAGAGAGAGAGAAAGAGACAGAGAAAGAGAGAGAGAGAGACAGTGAAAGAGAGAGAGAGAAAGACGGAGAGAGAGAGAGAAACAGAGAAAGAGGGAGACAGAGATAGAAACAGATATAGAGTGTGTGAGAGAGAGAGACAGGCAGATGGATAGAGAGAGACAGAGAGAAAGAGTGTGAGAGAGAGAGAGAGAAGAGAGAGAGACAAACACAGAGAGAGGGGGGAGATGAACTGAGCAAACTTTGCGACATGTTTGGGATTGATGGGTCCTTCGCAGCGTGGATGAGAAGGTGGTTAAAGGATAGGAAACAGAGGGTAAGTGTAGATGGGCATTTCTCAGACTGGAGATGAGTTGAAAGTGGTGCTCCTAAGGAATCAGTGTTGGGACTTGGTTTTGCTGATTTATAGAAACGATTTGGAGATGGGTGTTGAGGGTGGAATCTCTAAATTAGCAGATGATACTAAGCTCGGGAGAACAGTGAGGGTGCTGCTGAGTGATTTCAGTGGGACATTGACAAGTTGGGTAAATGGGCAGACTCCAAGCAGATGAATTTCAAAACAGAGCAATGTGAGGTAATGCATTGTGGTAGCTGAAACATGGAAGGACAATACAGGCTCAATGGTACAACATTGAGGGGAATACAGGAGCAGGGAGACCTCGGGGTTCATGTCCATGAGTCTCTGAAGGTGGCCAGGCAAATTCAAACAGTTATTAACAAGGTTTATAGGATCCTTGGGTTTATAAAAGGAGGCACAGATTATTAAAGCGAGGAAATGAAGCTACAGCTCTACAAATCATTAGTCAGTCCACATTTGGTTCTGTTGTGGGAGCCTTATTTAGGGAAGGATGTTAAAACCCAGGAGAAAGTGCAAAGGAGATTTATCAGAATGATACCAGGTATGAGGGATTTTAGATACAAGGAAAGTTTGGAGAGATTGGGCTTATTCTCCTTGGAGTGAAGAAAATGAAGAGGTGACCTTTCTGAGATGTTCAAAATGATGAACAATTTTGACAGGGTTAAAGAAGGATATTCTGTTTCCACAACTTGGTATGTCAGTAACTAGGGGGTCACAATTTCATAGAAAGCTCGGAGTGAGATGAGGAGAAACTTCCTCACTCAGAGAATTGTTAGGATTCGGAATGTCCTGTCTGGGAGAGTGGTAGAGGTGGGTTCTGTGGGACGTTTCAGAGGAAAGTTGGATGTAGATTTGAAAGGGATGGATTTAGAAGGCTATGGAGGTAGGGATGGAGGATGGGACTAGCTGGGTAGCACTTTCAGGAGCCAGTACAGACATGGTGGGGAGAATGGCCTCCTTCTGCTCTGTAAAATTCAATAACACTAACCGTCCAGACAGTCTGATACTGGAGGGGAATCAGAGAAAAAGAGAGATACAGAGATAAACTGACCAAATAGTCTGAATCTGCAGAGGTGTCAGAGAGAGAGAGAAAGAGAGAAAGAGAGAAAGGAAGGGAGAGACAGAGGGGGAGAGAGAGATAGACAGGCGAACCAGACTGCATGAACATGGTACGGAGACCAGAACGGTGCACGGTGCTCCGAGTGTGGGTCTAACTGAGGGATACAGGGCCCAGAACTGTGCACGGTGCTCCGAGTGTGGGTCTAACTGAGGGATACAGAGACCAGAACTGTGCACGGTGCTCCGAGTGTGGGTCTAACTGAGGGATACGGGGACCAGAACTGTGCACGGTGCTCCGAGTGTGGGTCTAACTGAGGGATACAGGGACCAGAACTGTGCACGGTGCTCCGAGTGTCGGTCTAACTGAGGGATACGGAGACCAGAACTGTGCACAGTGCTCCGAGTGTGGGTCTAACTGAGGG